AATCTATGCAAAACAGTATTTTATAAATCAAGGAGTTTTTAGATACTAATAAAGATGAGAATATCAAAACTAGTCGTATTAACTAAATAAATGAACTGATTCACAGTAAAACATTAAATTTGTATTAGAAATATTATTGTAATACGTTATTTCCTGAATAAAATTTATTAGAACGCATTTTTTAAATTCTAAGTTAAATTGGATCAGCAACTAATTCAAAAAATGAGAGATATGACTTTTTGGATTATGCCACAAAATATAACATATAATTGTATTAATTGCATTAAAGCTTGCAACTTATACCATTTTCATTTTCACACATTGCTAGATTAAAATAAACACAGCACTAGCTAGATTCAGCGTACTATCACACAGGATTAAAAATTTATCAGGATATAATCAATGATGTACTTTGCCATATAAAATTGGAGAAAAGTTCATTACTTCTATAATATGAAAATGAAATTTAGGCTCCAATTGTGATATGTGATAAGTTCTTTAAATATGCTTCATTTATTGATGAAAAATATCATTTAATATTCACTCAAAAGGAGTAGAAATAACCAGACATAATCTAGAAATTCGAAGAATTTATCATTTCACAGTAATTCTTAGTAAATTCTAGTTTAAAAGTGAATATTCATCATATTTAAGCATTTGATATTCAGAATCCAAAGAAGGTAATATATAGGATAAAAGATCTTCATTATAGTGATGTAGAAGGAATAAAATACTTCTTTATTTTAAATAATTAATCTGATGAAGAATAAACTTTTTCTCCCTATATTAATGAATAACTCAATGATATATTTGACTTTTTATTGCTAGTAGATCAATCAGAGAAGTAATAAAAGTTTCAATAATTTATAATGCTTGTTAATGAAAATAACTCTAATGATAATGATTCAGATCTTATATCACAGCTAAAAAATTCTTATTTTAAATTTGAAAAAATTCGATTCTAATAATTGATAGGAATGTTAAGTAATTATAGATTATAAGAAGATAAAAAGTTACTTTAAAATGAAGATTTTTTGCTTACAATCAGATAAATAAGAATTGCGATGAAACTTTGCAACAAGGGCAATAAATTTATCCTCTAATTCTTATAATAAACTGACTGTTTTATTGCAATGAACAATGAGTATCGATTACCACTAGTGGAGGAACTAATAAAAGTTTATCTCACTGAAACAAAATAAGAAGATGAATAAATTGAAGATAACTATGTATTATAAAAGTTAAAAAAAGTAGTTAAGGCAAATAGTCTATCAGAACAGCTTGAATTCATTAAAAAGCTTTAATAATAAGATAATCAATCTCTTATCGAAAATTATATATCTCAAGATGACAATAACTCAAATTATATTAAAGGACTTTGGAAAATAATTTCTTTCAAATGTTAAAGTGAATGGAAAGAGGAAACATTCATGCTCACTTCATATTACATTTGTTTAAAATGGATAGATTATTTAGAACCAGTTGATGATAATTAAATTGAAAATGATGAATACTTAGAATAGAGAATGGAAAAAATAAAAGGTTTGCTTGGTGCTCTAACATAACAAAGGTTAAGCCTTCTTTAAGAATAAATCCCTTATTTTAATAAACTTATAAGGATTATCTCGGAGAGAATTAATGAATACCAAGGAGATGAATTTTCTTAAATTTCGATTGAAAATTTATAATAGTTTATTCTTATTATTGATAAGAAAGATAACATCATGGATATTATTAATATTTTGGAATATTACAGACCTAAATTATGGCATTAAAAGATATTAGTATATTCCTGTGAGAGATCAATAAACGAATTTATTTTGAAAAAACACAGTGATATTTCTTCTAGAATCTATATCTAATTAAAAAATAAAATGATAAATGGGATGAGGGAAATATAGGGATCAATAGTTATTCTTGAAACAATTAAGAGTTTACTTGAGGAAGACATTGATTCAGAAAGTGAGGGCTTATTCTTGTCCATCGAAACTTTATTAGATTTAATTACCAAGCTTGCTTAATTAAAGAAAAAGAATTTACTAACTTAGTCTGTGGTGTAAAAATTAAATGGAGGTTAAATAAATGACCTATTAATTTAGATTTAGAAGATTATGATTTAAGGAGAATTAAACTACTCAGAAACTAATTCTCTCCATCAAAATATAATCTCTGGGTTTTATACTTTTTGCTAGACTTATGGTGTGGATAAATTGAATTAATTTTTGGGGGCAGTCAAAAAAGAATAGATTTATGATCCTCTAGATTTGCTTATTTTAATTAAAAAGATAAATAACCGCAGAATTATTTTGAGTTAAGACAGCTTATTGGCTTTATATTAAGAATAAGAATAAGAAATTAAAGGGGTTAAAGGTTGGGCTAAATTGCTTGAAAATTAAGCAAAGATTAAGATGGATAGGGAGAAAGAAGAAAGATTAAAACAAATAACTCCAGACTAAGAATTACGATTCGATTGCAATAAATTGTGCGAGCAAATATTAATGAATGAATATAATTCAGGAGTAAAAGATTGGGTGTAAGTGAGAGTTGATAAAGATCCAAAGCTTACAGAATTAATACTTAAAATATTCGAAGCATATAGAAAACCATCGAAGCTAATTAGCAAAGATAATAAAATAGATCATCAAATAATTTCAGAATGGGATAGTTAGCATATCTAAAATTGGGTAGAACCTGCTAAAGTATTGTACGGTGATGAGTAAAATTTTGAAGATGCAAGTGAAATTTTTGCTGTTGCTATAAGAGGAATAGAATTAGCAACTAAATTAATTGCTAGATATACTTAAATAGCATGCTGTATATTTTTCTACTTTAAATTAGGGCAAGTAGGAGAAGTTTATACGGGAGAAGGTAAAACATTGATTATTGCTCTCTGGGCTGTTATCTAAGCAATTAGAGGATTTAAAGTTGACATTATTAGTAGTTCAAGTGATCTTGCAGAAAGAGATTATTTGGAAAGTAAAAATATCTATCTTCAGTATGGATTAGTTTCTGAAATAATATGTGATGATTTAGCTAATTAATAAGAGGAAATAAGACCAGCGAGGTATTAGGCTCATATTGTATTTGGGGACATTGGTTCTTTTGAAAGAGATTACTTATTAGATACTTCATTAATTGGTAAAAGTGTTCGAGGTGGCAGAACAACAGGTTGTCTTATTGTAGATGAAATTGATAGCTCACTTCTTGATAAGGGAGAGAGTACACTCTATTTATCACATAAAATAGCTGAATTATCGTGTCTTAAGAACCTTTATGTTCAAATTTGGGCAGCTATTCATGCTAAAGGAAATAATAATGGGACTTAAGAAGATATTAATGTTGTCGTGGAGAGTCTTAAAATAAGAATCAACTAAAAAAACATTAAGATTCCAAATATTTTAAAAAGCCTTGTCCTTAAAAAACTCAATGAGTATGTTAGCAATGCTTTCACAGCAAAGAAAATGAACTTAAATGATCCATACATTTTAAATATGAGGTAGAAGAATGGAAGAGTAGTTGTAATGGACAAGGAAACGGGTGTAGAATAAAAGTCAACATAATGGAGTAATGGGCTTCATCAGTTCTTACAGCTTAAGCATTAAGATAGACTTACATAAGAAAGTTTTAGAGCTGTTTTTATTTCTAATTTAAAGTACTTTCAAAATTACAATGGAAAGATATATGGTCTTACAGGAACTCTTGGATCAAAAGTTGAAAGGAAACTTCTAAGTGATCTTTACTCTTTGAAATTTTTTAACTTACCTAGATTTACATTATCTGGATATGTTTAATATGATCCTATTATTATACCTTCACTTTAAGTTTAGTTGAATATGATAAAGATAATTATATAAGATATTGCAATAAATAAGAAAAGACCTATCTTATTCATTTGTGAGAATGTCAGCTCAGTCCTTTTGTTAGAATAATTTATTTTAGGATTCTACTTAAATGTTTTCAAGAGAATATCTGCTGACGAAAAATTGGAAATAGGATCAGAAAAAGAACTTATTGGTGGAGAAGTAATTGTTGCTACCAATATATCAGGTAGAGGAACTGATTTAAGGATCAGCGATGATGTTAGTAAATTAGGAGGATTACATGTGGTTGTAACATTTGTAACAAGCAACATTAGAATTGAAGAACAAGCTTTCGGTCGAACTGCAAGAAAAGGTTAGTAAGGTAGTGGATAATTCTGTATATAATTCTCTAACTCCGATTTTTCTATTGATGAAATAAAGTTAGAAAGAGACAAATTAGAAAGTTATAGATTAGGAGAACTCAAGAAAAAGACTATAGCCAGACTTGAAGTTGAGGCTTTGCTTTTCTAAAAGTTTATTTAATTGTATGGAAATCTTACTGACAAACTAAAGGCTGACTCATACCTTTTGCGCATTTTTGATAATGAAGAAATCCTAAGTAAGTATTAAGAAATGCAACTAGATTTCCTAAAAAATAGATGGGCTTATTTTTTAGAGGAAATCAGTGATAAATTAAATGAAGTCTACAAAAATGGTAGAAAGGAGGTATATTTTTAATATGAGCATTTTAAAAATGAATGCTATACCTATTTAATCGATCAAAATTGTCTTAAATTTGCGAAAACTTTCTGTGAACTAGTAAAATTGGGCAATTTTTTTGAAGAACACAAACTCATTAAGCTAGCTTTGAAATCCTACAGTAGAGTTATTAAAAATGAACCTGAATTCTGCGAAGTTGCTTATTATCGCAAAGCAAAAGCATTGATGGACAAAGACAGTTTAAAATTATACGATTATTTTGACTTTAAAAAGATTTGGAATCGAATTTATAATGAAAATGATCAAGAATTAGAAAAGAGATAATAAATAGGAATAATTCTTAGATAAAGTTTAAATCTTATGCAAGAAAAAGTTAATGAATTACTAGCAGCAATCGAGATTTTAAAAATAGTTGATAGAAATTATTAAAGTAGAAAAAATGATGTTCAATATGATAATCTATTTGAAGCGCAGTTCTAGTCGTTAATAGCACTATATAATTTTCATATTGACTCTATCAAATAATCAGTTGGAGAATAACCATCACTAGGTATTTTAAAAGGACTATACTAATGCTGTGACGATTAAAAAGTATTCAATGAGATAAATGAATATTTTGAAAAAACAGATATATTTAAACTTGAGAGAATATCTTAAAAGGTTAAAATATAAGAAGCTCCTTACAGATTCAAAATTGAAGATAAAATTTTTGAAATCCCCTTTAATCTTTAATACTGTGATGCAGAGATAATAAATGTTCTGAAAGGTAAAATTGGTAAATAAACTTATGAGTAGAGATATGTCAAATAAAATGAATTTAAAGATGTCTTTTTGAATTAAGATGCTGTATTTTCTAGCTTATTAAAAAATGGTTATCTCAATGACAAAAAATAATTTGTTTAAGTTCCTTAATATGACCCAGCTGTATTTGAAAAATGTAACTTCTTGCCTTAAGATGTTCAGATAGAAATAAATAATTTTCTATTATAAAATTCTGAGATGTCATTTGAGATCCAAGAATTCAAAAACTAATTAGGTCAATTCTCCAAATATTATGAAGAGTTAATAGCTAAAAATATTGTCTTTATCGAAGAGTAAGGAACTTTTAAATTAAAGAAAATAGAAATTATGAATAAAGAGTTAGGCAATCGAATCATTAGAATAATGTAAAGCCATATTGATCAAGCGATTTCTGAAGATTAACAATCATTTGTTTTGAAAAAAGGCAATCTTGATGTATAAAAAACTGTTGAAGAGTAGTTTGCGAATCTTAAAATGTTTATGATATAAAATAAAATCCTAAAGCTAAAAGATTTTAGGTTCAAAATTACGAATAATAATAAGTAAAGAAAGTAAGAAATTGAGGAAGTCTTAAATAAATTGATTGATAAAATTGATTTTAAGATTGAAGAACGAAGATAAAATTTAGTTCTAAATCACTTTAGACATATTATTGAAATAATGTCTGAACCTATTTTAGAGAAGCAATACAATTAAAAGAATAAGACTTTCATTTCTGCAAACTTAGAATATAGCAAAAAATCTAAAGTTTTAGAAGAGTAGAAAGTAAAGTTCAAAGAGACATTTGCCAAAGAATTTATTGCTAAAATAGGAATCAACAAAACTGAAGATTCAATTGAATTCGAAGTTACTACTTTAGCTTCTAAATATATTGATTAGAAAAAAGATATTCCCAAAGAAATGGATGAAATGATTGATATAGGGTTAGAAAAAATTCTAGTCTTGAAAAAAGGTTGGGAGTTTAATTGGAGCGCTCTTGTATGTGTGCTTATAGGAATCGCTCAGATATGAGTAGGATTCTTATTGATAGCAACTGGAGTTGGTGCTGTTTTAGGAAATATGCTTATTTAAGAGGGATTCTCAGATATAATTTACGGTCTTTAAGCAATGGTTTCAGGTGAATTTTCATGGACTGAGTATGGTATTCAAAAAGCAATAAGTGTAGCATTATCAATTATCACTTTAGGCTGTTCATCAGTTGCTGGAACAATTGGAGCTCAAACATTAAACATCGGAATGAAAGCTGGAATTACAGCTTTTAAAAGGGGGGCTCTCAAAGCTATCATTCCATTAATTAAAGATAAAGTAATTGAATGGACTGTAAGTGCACTTGGAGTTTTATAAAAGATGATTGAAAATTTTATCAAGAAAGGATCTTCCTGGCTGATTGAAAAAGGAATGAAAATAGTTGAAAGTATTATTGAAAAAATCATTGATCCTAGTAAAAACTATTTGATTTAATGCATGTAAATGGTTGCAATGAAAGATAGAGATGATTTTTTGAAAAAGTCTTTAGACAATTTGCATTAGAACTTTGCTAGCTTTTAAACAAATTCTATAAATTTTATCAATTTGTATAAACAGGGAAAAGAAATTTTGGTAAAAATTATCGAAAATATTCAAGATGGTGGGTAAAGCTTCGCTGGAAAAGTTATTGCAGCAATTGCAAGTATTCCTCAAATTATAGAATCATGTTAATTGATAAAAAAAATTTCATATAAAGTTGAAAATATCTCAGAAACTCTTAAAAAATCTGATTAATAAATTAAGCAATTGAAAGATACATATATTAATCAGCATTAATAAGAATATTCTATGATATAGCAATAAAGTTTCAATAAAAAAATCGAGTAATCTTTTGATAATGAAAAAACAAAAGCAATTGAGTTTATCTAATAAAAAACTCAAAAAGAAGTTGACAAATGGGTTAGTGATCTAATCGTAAAATTTATTCAGGACAGAGCTACACGAGCTATTGAAAAAAAATTTGAAAAAGCTCAAAAATATTATGACGAAAAGGATGATAAGGATAAAGATAAATTTAAGCCTAGCAAAAGGACTGAGTAATTAATAAATTTAGGAATTAATTATGCTGGAGCTCAAATTAAATCTTTTCTTGTAACGGATATTAAGGATAAGCTTGGATAAGAGATAAAATATTTATAAGAATTATGCTCGAACTAGCTTTCAATTAAACTTAAAACCTAACTGTAATTAATATGCTATTAATCCCCTCAATTTTTTAATTCTAATGATGAAATTAAAAACAATTTGTTTAAATGTGGTGATCCATTACTTGATATCTTTAAAAAATTCAGCAAACTCTTTATTTCGTAATTGAAAAACTATGAAATCTTATTTAGTTCTTAAGGCCTAGTTGATTTTAAGAAATTTTTTGATTAAATAAAGGGAAATGCAAAAAAGACTTTGAAAAATGAAATTTTAACTGAGAATGATAATAGATAAGAACTCAAGATTTAAGTTTAAAAATTTGCTATTAAATTCAATAAAATTCTAGAAGAACTTAATTAGTTCAATAAGAATCCTGTTAAATTATCTTTATCTGATAAATTCATAAAATAGTGTGACAGTAATGTTATCGAATTCATAGATGAATTAAAAAACTGGATAATATTACCTATAAACTAAATGATTTAGCCTATGCTAAAGAAAATTTAGGAAAAAGTTGTTGATTACTTTTCGAACTTTTATAAAACACTTTCTGCAAAAGAGGAGAAAGAAAAAAAGGATAAGACAAAAATTCTTCAGATAAAGATGCTAAAAAAGAAAAAAAAGATGATAAGAAAGATAATTTAGAAACTATTCAAAATAAATACTCTGACTATGTATCCAATACAATAAAAGAATGCTAAAACAGTGAAAAATATAAAACTAACTGGGAAGATTTAGAAATGAAATTCAAAGAAAAGTTAAACTTGAAAAGCAAATATACTCCCTAAGATAATACAACTCCAAATTTAATTAATCAAACTCAAAATATTTAAAAAAATAATGTAGTTCATAGTGGAAAATAAGATACTGCACCAAACACAGCGAATGATTCTTAAAAATCAAATTCTATTGTAAATAATACAAAAAAGTAATCTGAATAAAAAGGCTTACCTACACCAAATAAAACATCTAAGAATGAGGTGAAATCAGAATAGCTTGGAAATAATTTAAAAAATGACAGTAATAAGGGGGATAATAAAAAAATCATACCATAAAATAATGAAATAATTTCGAAAAATGAATAAGATTTTTCATAGAATCATAGCAATCAATTAAAAGACCATCCTTAGAGTCCAATTATTTCAATCAATTTTGGAGACAAGCCACATTAGTCCTATAGTGAAGTAAAACATTTACCATAAGAATAAATTGGTCTCCCAATAACCTAGTAGTAAAGTTTCAGAAATCCAATAGATGCAGAACTAAAATCTGGTAATGGTGGAAGAAAAATTGTTGAAAGAGCTCATAGTGCTGTTGGGAGTAGACCAGATAGTTATATAAATAATCCAATATAATAGTGCACTTGTAAGGATTAAAAACCAATCTAAATAAGAAGATAATCTTTAATTAAAAATAATTAACCTACACTCATAAATAACATGAACCCAAATAGATTTCCCGATTAAGCACTTAGATAACCCTATTTCACTAATAAATAACTCAAATCTAAAAATAAAAAGCCTCATTTTACATAAATTCAAACCTCATGTAGTAGATAGCCTATTATAATTAGATAACCCATTTACTAAATTAAATAACCGGATTTCCCATATAGATATCTTGATGATGCAAATAGATATCAATAAGTTATGCAAAGCTAAACTCGACTTAATTCACCATACAATGAACCGGTAAAGTTATAGAATTTTAGAACATATAAAGCTAATCCTAAACGTCATAAATCTGGAGTTACATACCAAACAATAAACTATTTTGTATTGTCAACTGATGATATTCTAAGAGTTTAGAACAAATTGAAAGACAAAGCAAAAATTAGTCTAAAAAAGAAGAAGAAATTTAATTAGATTGATTAGCTGATTTAATCCATTATGAGCCAAAAAAGAAATTGAATTGAATTGATTTTATTTAATATTTATTTAATAATTTCCTTAAGTCATAAAATAATTAGATTGCATGGGGTTTTGGGGTTTTGGGG